TTTTATATTTTGAGCACGTTTTTTGTTTTGTGTAAGGGATGTTGATCAAAATTTTTGTTACATTTCCGCATTTGACATTTTTAATACATGTATTTCATTTTAAATTTTCGGTGTCGTTACATCACCAACAACACTAGTTAAATGGTGTAAATCATATTTTAGATACATTAGAATTAACCTTAAACATGTCGCAACAGAACTTGATAAAATCTAACAATTGCAGTCTATTTTACGGAACCTACAAAAAGAAGCAGCATCATAAAGATGAATTATACGAATGATAGATTATAGATGAAACCTATGAGAAACAGTGAAGTATAGAAAAATTAGTAAGTGAGAGGGACCTAGACCCTAGATACTTCCACTTATTGGTAACGAAATGAAAAAAAAAGACTATTGAAGCAATAATTTATTCTGTCTGATCTAATCCAATTTGTTTTGTCGAAGCGAAGTGATGATGTTATTTATATTATTCTCCATCTTCTACATCTTGTTGACTCGCTGGTTTTGGTAGAATAGTCCTTTTTCTACTCATATGGTTCTCACTCTTTCTCTTCCGCCCTGTGCAGATCTGCAGCAATTTTTTTATTTATTGAGATTTTGATTGATGCGGAGGAGAGAGAACGACATGATCGAGATCCGAAAGAAACTAAAATGAAGACCTCAATTTGTGCAAAATAACCACCAAGGCCTCTCAGCTGATCAGATGTTCCATCATCGAGAAATTTAGTAAGAAATCAAGCAGATGATGCAGAGCTTACAATTTATTATTAGTTCTTATAAATTATTCATCATTTACAATCTCAAAGTTTGTGATTGACTATTTTAGTAGACAGGGTCAACAGTTTTTAAAAACTATAATTAATGCTGTGAGCTGTCCGTCTTCCACTACCGGCTTCCTATTCTGATTTACAATTTGCTAACAACCTTCTGCTTCTTTTCTTCATCCAGAAGAAGCTCCTGGCAACTGATACTGCTTTCATCGGAGTGCCCAATTGAAATCTACAGGTTTTTAATCATCTCCTTCATATATTATTCAGTTTCCGAATTTCTGAGTTCTACTACACTTGAAATTTTCTCTTGTTTATCTTGGACAGATTTACATCTGAATTGTTTTTGCATCTAGAAACTTACAGCTTTCATCTTATTTATCTTAAGAAACATTCTCTTCCACCATTCTTACAATGACTCCCATAATCCTAAGCTGTAACTTTTATCATCTTATTTATCGTATGTCACCATTCTGTGATTGCTTGTTTCGTATTTACTGGCGCATGATAGGAAGATATTTCTTCATACGAACATTTTGTTGCAGGATCTGCCATGGCTAACGGGGACGCATTGGGTGTGCGCCTACAAAACATATTGGACGCACTATGCGCAGACCATGTCAAAGTGGTGTGTCTAGTTGGGAAACCGGGAATAGGGAAAACATGGACGGCAAACAAGGTTAGTGATATTGTAAAGCAAAAAGGTCTGTTTGATTTATGTTTTTGGCTGTCTATGAGCAGAAAACATGACAAGGAATCTCCACTTGAGAGGATTGCTGCTCATTTGCCTATATGTCTGCCAACTGAGGAGTGGGATGAGGATAACGATGGTGATGACGATGAGGATGAGGAGATGCAGACAGAAGTTTATCTGAAACAGAAAATATCAACAGCTATTGGTACGAAGAGGTGTCTTTTAATCTTGGATGGAGTCTTAAAGGGAGCGAAAGTAGATGATATTGTATCAGAATTAGAATCCGGGATTCCTGATTCTAAGCAGCCTTCATTTAAAGTTTTAGTCACCACCACAGATTACTCTGGAAATCTTATTGGTCCTTACTTGGAGGTGTTGGAGTTGGAACCCTTGTCTGCAGCAGAGACATTCAGTCTTTTGGATGAACACGTCAAAAATCCAGATTTTAAACTACTATTTGAAGACATCTACAAGGAAAGTGAGGGTGCTCCTGCTAAAATTGAGGCCATGGCAGAAGCACTAAATTACATTGCAGAATATAAATCTCGAGATTCAAGAAGAGAGTTTGGAGTAGACCCAACAGGTACTGATGTTTCCATCATTATGCCCTGCTTTCTCCAAATTGCCCATTCAATTCTGCCAACCAATGATCTGATTCATTGTTTCTGGCACAGCTGGCAGTACATTCACTTGAATGGTCCTGTTAATTTCACTCAATTGATAGCTCATTGGATTATGGAGGGTTGTCTTGGTCGTATTAATTGTATTGAGGATGCTTTTAAGAAGGGTTACTCTGTTCTCATGGAGCTTATAAATCTACGCTTTCTCAAATATGTGAAGTCCAACAGCGTTGTAATGGTGGGATGTGCAATGAAAGTGCCTTATTGGTGGATCAAAAATGAAGAAGATCATGTGATTTACCATAAGAACATAGATGGAGGACAATATTCAAGTAGGGATTCCCAAAGATTTATAGGTGCAGAGAGCTGTTTAATGGTTCCTGCTTTGAAGGACAACACGTGGGAAGGATTAGGGGACATTGCATTGATTGATGGCGTGATAAAGACAGTTGGATGTAGCAGCAAATTAGAGAAAATCTCAACATTATTGCTTGATGGTAATTCTCTATGCAAGGAAGTCCCAGATGCATTCTTTCATAGCCTGAATGGACTTAGTGTTCTTGCTATATTCAATCCCATGCTCAAATCTCTACCAGCATCATTTTTACACATGCAAGAGCTTACAACGCTTATCTTAAGGGGCTGTGAGTTTCTAGAGGATATTGATCAGATAGAAGAGCTCAAATCATTAATTATTCTTGAGATATCTGGTGCTACATCATTGATGACAATTCCAGATGA